AAAGAAATCTGGCTTTTAGCTCAGAACATGAGTAAAGCATATAATTTTGTACACATTCCACTTCTTCAACATGCACTAAATCACATAAAAATTTCTCAAAACATATCTCAACTTATAACAAATATTCACAGCAATCACTACAACTCAGTTATTACAATTTTGGTCCTACATCTAGATACCATGTTCAAGATAATATAGACCAAGGAGAGACTATTAAACCTCTGCTCTGGTGCATCTATTATGACTTTCTAATTACCCATATCTATTCTGAATTTCATGAATATAATATGTTAATAATATTCTCTTCTACAAATCAACTACTTACATATCATATCTCAGTCCTTGTTAACATAAATGATACCTTATGGCTAGCTCCTGACAAACAAACTATGCAACAAATTGTTACAACAGCTGAGTCCTTCTACAACATGGCTAACATTACAGTTAACTTTACAAAATCAATTTTCACAACAAATCAAACTAAAGACCTGAATCCTATAATCAACTTCGCAAACACAACTATACATACTATACATTTAAAACAAACCTTTCGATACCTAGGCTGCTGGCTTATACTCTTGAATCATCACAAACATATTCATAAACAGATCACTACTGAAGCAATAAACCTGATTAATACTATAAAAAACAAAAAGATTACTGAAAAACAAACAATTTATATAATTAACATGGTACTTGTACCCCACTTCTTATACAGGACTATGAACATATTTATGCACCAATCCACTATGCAAGGCATAACTAATTCATACATGCAAGTAGTAAAACACAAAGCTGGACTTGTCTCAACAATACCAAATTCCACTATACTTTATCACCAAATTTATAACCTTTGTAGCTTAACTGATATTTAAACACAAAATCATATCTCATCACTTTATACACAACTAAACAACACTCTAACAGCCCCATCAATCAAAATTATCATTCAACACCTCCAAAATGCTATACTTTCATTAAACAACATTTTACTTACTCCTAACTATATACTACCTACTAAATTTCACAATACACTTACAGCCCAAACTATTCAAACAGCATATTAGCTCAATATTAATATAGAAAACCTTCCCAACTTTTGGCCTATACCAACTATATACAAAAGCACCCCAATCGATACACTAATTAAATTCTGCAACAAACCAACAAATATTAAATCATTAACTAACAAAGCAAACATCTATGCTATTGAGCAACTTACTAATCACACAAACATACAACTAGTTCCATAGCAATGCATTACATACAAAACACTTAAGATACCTAGAGGCAGAACTCCAGAATGGTTTCTTGAATTACATAATACCTTCTATACATCTACAATACTATTTATTCCTACTATTACTTCTAACCCATTTACTACAAATTCCATTATACTAAAAAGAAACACCTGAATCCTAGGAAAAACTAACAAAACTCAGATCATAGGAAAAATACAAAAAATCATTTATATAAGCAATACAATATATATTAAACACTATCACTTATCACCACTAGAGCTTCAATATATAGCCCTACTGTCAAAATGTATGAACTGCAAAAACACTATTACTACTACTAATCAGCAATTCATTATAATGCTTAAAACATCTCAGTGCATAGCCATCAAAGTGTCTAGTGCAAAATTTCTCTGTACAGATATTGATAACCTAGCACAACATCATTCACACCTTATAATACAAATATTATCATGGCACTAATATAAAACACCAACTTCATATTCTACTATTGCTTCTACTAACTAAAATAATTCTCAACCATCAACTACTTCTATATCTACAAATAACTTAATTTACCAATTATTTTTACCAAATACATCTAATGCATATTTATTTCATCTCTCAACAATTAACTCTCAAACTAAAAAGCTTTAACTATACCTCCATGTAACTATAATCCAACCAAATACCCCAAGCTTACATGTTCAATTTGCCTGGATTCTTATACCTACTAATATTACATTCTTTTCTCAAATTACATACTGGCTCTCTATTACACAAGCATACCTTATTGATATTATAACAATACTAACTATTGCTTCACAACATTGCCAAATAACAGTCTTTATGACACATAAACCAATAACCAACTATATTAACTTACTTCTTATACCATTATCAAACACAACACTTACTTTACAAAAACATAATTACTGGCCACTCAAACTCTTAACACAAACAATCATCACTTGCAAACACCTCAAAATCAAATAAATTAATATAGAGAACCCAGATAACCACTCCCTTTACAACAGAACAGTTCATCTTTCTACTACAACACAACAATATAAACTTCATACCCAACCTTATGCATTGGACAATAACAACTTTTATTTACTTGAAATGGAACACCAATAGAAAACAAAACCTGCCGCTTTATTCACCATCTACAAAATGCAAATAACACTGCAAAATAGCATGCCTTAAATAGAACTAGCCACTAAAATATTATTCATCACAATACCAACTGGGATCTGACATACCAATTCATTAATTACAACAACAAACCTAATACTTGTGCTACCCATCCTAAGCACTCACAATTAAAAAGCTTTAAAATTAAGTTTTTACTAAATGAGTTACCTACACTGTTAAATTTATACTACAGAAAACCTAAAACCTATACCAATCCAACCTGTAATCGCTGCACATTACATATAGAGAATAACCTACATTGGCTTGAATGTTAGGCAAACTCTATAACCCTTAATTAACTACTTCAACAAACTATACACAAGTTCTATACAAAACACAAAATAGGAAACAGCAATATACCTGTTCTACTGCAGCAATTTACTTCAACACAAACTACTACTCAACAATTTCTTTGAATATAAGGTTTAATTCCAGATGATATACTCACAAACTGCAATATTACTTCAAGCCTACTTGTTAATCTATTTTACAAAATATCAAGTAATATATATATATAAATTAATAAAGCAATCATTAAATAAATGAACCTTTATTCTTATTATACACATAATAAATTGAGTAATTCATCTATAAGAGACCTTATTTTAGTACTATAAGCTGTTATGTCAGCAAATATTTATAGCTGCATTTTTAATTACTACTGCATCAACTAAATAAAGTCATAGAGTGTTATTCATTATCTGAAAACTCTGTATCAATTTGATTAAGATCTAATTCATTTGCACAATTTTATTGGCTTGCCAATGGAATAGTTATATGAAGAATAAGTTGGTTGAGCTTCTTAATTTTTGTCAAGACATTTTCACTATAGGATGGTTTTTCTTTGTTACAAACTGCAATCTGATAATCGATATGGATTTGCAAACCTTCAACAATAAAGTTTTTAAGTAACTTGAGCAAATATTGAGATTTTTTAAATTCTGAGAAGTTACTGACTTCAAGGTATTTGCTAAGTTTTTGTCACCAGACTTTACAAGCAATGAATTGTTAATATTTTCATCTGTTGGATCACTACAGTACATATTGATATTAAACCCATAAATAACACATTATGTAATATTAAATGGTAGGCTAATATTATTTGTATCTTATATTCTGTACATACCAGTTTTTAACAAGTAAATCCTTAGCAAAATCTGTAATATCCTTATTAAATATACATCTAAAATTATCAATGTATTTATGTATTTTTCAATATAGCAGTTTAAATTCTTTAGTTACTGAGTCTATTGATAGAACAATTTTCTTAATCAGTTTTTTATATATTTTTTTAAAAGAATTTCATATTTATAAAAACAAAAGTTTGCATTGTTTTATAAAAAGATTTATTAAAATTTCTTTGTTCATCAGCTCTAAGAGATTAACTTCAGCCTAATAAATATATAATAAGTATATAGTTTAGAATAAAAACTAATACATATGTGTATTATAAATTAAACAAACCTTGTATAATAAAGATGCTGTTAAACTTTGACTTGTGTGATCAAATTTGGTCATGTGCATAACCAATCAACTAATGATTGCTTATCAGAAAAAGTTATTTCTTGTAAATTATTATCAGGTTGTCAAGTAGCCATATTGTAATAAGAGTTTACAAGAGAATGTAGTACATGTTAGTGTTATAAATTTAATTTTAAATTATTTTTTTTCTGATAATTGTAAGAATTTTATTGCTATAATGGTTCTTTATCTTGATATGTTGTTGAATATAAATTCAATATATTGTCTAATAACATTGTAGTTGCTCATGACAAGCTTTTATATTGTTGTTCTAATACAATAGAATTTTCAGATATTATGAAACTTGTTTCAGAATTATTTGTGCCATTAAATAAGACTTGTAATCTATTGACATTTTTATTTAAATAAGTATTGTATATCAAGTTTGAATTCATAAAATTTGATTGAATTGAAGTGCTTGATGGCATATAATCTGAATATGAACTAATTCTAAATCAATGTTATATGATGATTTTGAATGACTTGTATAACTTGAATAATCATTAAGATTATAAAAGTTTTGATTTTATTAAATTGACCAAGCTATATTGTTAGCTGGTGTCAATATAGTATTATTTAAATTCATTAGTGCAAATGGAACACAGGCAAGTTCATTAGATTTTTTTTAAAAAAATAAATAAATAGATAAATAAATGATAAATCAAAAGTATTTAATATAATTCTTATTAATGGTAAATTTTATAAAAAAATTGTTATTTTTATAAATCGTTTGTTTTAAATGTTTATTAGATATCATTTGTTGTTCAGAAATCTCTTTGTCAGATTCAAAAGTAATAATATTTGTTAATATTAATACAAAATTAGTATTAGTATATACTTGACTTTATAAATATATACTAATAATTTCTTTTTTTTTGATTTTCTAGCATTTGCAGTTTTTCTGCCTCTAGTTCTTGCTATATTTAGTAAAAAATCATTTTTTATATAAAAAAAAGATTTCTTATTTTTATTTTATATCAACACAATTACATACTAAAATATATTCATATATATATAATTAATATATTAAACTTTGCAATTAAAATGTCATTGTATCATGTGAATCACATATTACATAAATTAATATATATATCAAATTTTGGTTAAATTTTTTTTTTTTAACTTATTCAAAGTATATCTAGACATCAGCTTTTATAATTTGAAACTTTACAGTTTTGCTTAAGAGCACTCAAAACTACAAAGCAACTAACTTTTAGATATAAAAATATTTCAATATGTGAAAATAATGAACTGCAGCAAGAAAATTTAAATGAAATCCAAAATTGGCAACATGAATATCAGGAATTTGAAAATAGCAATAATTTTAGTAATACTGATACTGATACAGAATTCTGTTATAGTAAGCTGAGTAATAATAATTCAACCAATTTGAACTGAAATGATATAGAATACAATGATAAATCTTGCAATACTAATTCAGATAATAATACCTCTAAGGATAAAACAACTTTTGTTGATGCTTCAAAAATATTTGATGAGACAAATTTTAATATAACATAGAACCCAGAAGACCAATTTGGTGTATTTAAAAACTTCATAACAATAGCAATGTTTATATGTGCTGTAAAATATATAATATATAAGTATTTGTATAAAATTTAATAGATTAAATAAAGTGCTTAATTTTAATTACCTTCTCTTTTTTTTTAAGCAAAAACTGTTTATCACAATCTGATTCAATTTTTACTTCATCTACAATTTGATAAAAATCATTTGATTACTAATTTACAAACACTTAAAAAATATTAGGAAAAACTTCTTTTAATGCAATCTAAAGTCACAAAGTTCCAATTAACCCTTGAAGCATACTATCTATGACCAAACATTTTACAAAAGTTTATTATTTTTCCTTAATTAAGTACCTACATCACATATTAAAAAATCCTAGTATTAGTTCTCACTTATACTTCAGACTAGGAATTTTTTTCAAGTTATGTGAAGAATTGTGAAAAGGAAATCTTTGGACAGAATTACCTCTTTTTGGCCAATCTCATATAACAACTTCATGAGATAAATAATTAATTAAAATATTATAAACTTGAATAGGTTGATATTAATGAAAGTTTTATCTTATTTAGGATCTTTTAAATGTAGTGATTTCATTTAATATCATTCTTATGAAAGTTTAAAACATGGTCGAATTTAGTTATTCATTGTTAAAGACAATACAATAAAAGTTCAAATACAAAGATTAATTCCTTATAATAAAATTCCTTAAAATTTATATTCTTTAGAACATGCATTTCAAGCTTAAAAGAATGGTTCTTAGTAGGAGAAATGATGATCATATTATAGAACTTTCTTCTTTATTACAGAAAATTGTAGTCTGGCTTAAAAATCAACTATCTTCACTATTTTTTGACTTATCTGTTAATGAAATTTTATATTATTTTAATAAGTCTTGAAAGTACTGTCCTATTAAATTTTGAAATCAACATCTAGCAGAATATATAACAACAAATCCACCATCTTATTCAACTATGCCAGTACTAAAATTCTTCTTGAATTTGTATTATAACAACTTTGTACTTTCTAAAATATATATCACTCTTTAGGTAGCATTTATTTACAAATTGGTAATATGCTATATTGAATGAAAAAACAACTATGCAACCATTTTGTTATTAGATTTGTGCCTTTTGGAGAAAAAATTCAAGACTTTATTAAGCCTTTTCTTGAGAAAATAAAAAAACTTGAAGAAGGTTTTATAATGAATTTAAATGGAACTAATTATTAGATAATAGATGGATTAGGTGTTTTTACTTCAAATTTGCTTCAGAGAAATGACATTGCTAGAACATTGCACCATAATGCATATTGAGGCTGCTGAACATGTAAAGTAACGAAAGATCAATTAACAAATCTTATATTTGATATTTATTATTGTGGTCGATACTATCAAATTACAGATCAAGAATTTCAACTTATAAATCAACAAACTTCAAAAAATACAAAATTGAAACTTTGTTCTCAATATGAATTACAACTTTTATCTGGATCATTAGATCTGATTTTGTATGCCCATTATTTGCATGTAACACAAGATGCATATTATGCAATTGTAAGAAAAATTACTCAGCTGCTTGACTGTATCTGTTCAATATTAACATTTAATGAAGAGAATAATTTGATCAAGTATTAGAAAAACTTTAAAACATCAACATAATGGTCTTACTTACCAAATCCAATTACTCATTAACATTCATTTATGATGTCTGATAATTTAAGGATTCTTATAGTTTTTCTTTTATTTTAAAGCATTGTTTGACTATTAATAGTATCAAGAATGATTTTTTAAAATTTATATGTAATAGGTTATGATTTTCCCATTGATCAGAAGTATGTGATTATATTATTCATATATGGGTACTTTGTGCTAAGACAGCTAAAAAAGTGTTTTCTTTAACTATATGATGATCTAATAAATATTCTTATCTACAAACTATTTTGAATAATAAATACAATGCTTTAATTAAGGTACATATTAATAATTAATAATTTGCTTTAAAATTTAATTATAAAAACAATAACTTATTTTAAAATAAGCTTTTTCCAAATAATTTTTAGAATCTTCCTAATCTACATATAAGCTGCCATTTAGTAGACCACACATATCAATATGCAACTTGCCCAAATACAGCAGTTGTATCAAGGAAATAGTGCACCAAATATTCAAAACAATAGTTCTACACACCAATAAATGTAATTTGGAACTTACTTTATTACAGCAAATTAATACATTGCAAACTTTAAAACATCTTGTAGATAGTGAAATAGATGATCGAATGCCTTATTATTCAACATGATCTATTTTTATACCATTGATTATTGCATCATGACTTCATCATTTATTATCTGGTTGGTGCATTAATAACTATAGCTTATCAATATACTATTCGACCAATTAATTACAAATTGAGTATAAAAATAACTATTATAGTTCTTTTATTTTTATCTAGATTAAAGTTATCTAATAAGCTATAGTGACTGTCATGTGAACATAATTAACACTAATATTTTTATATAGTTAACTCAGAATAAAATGTTTTTTTCTTTTTTTTAGTATATTATATACTTATGAATATTTACTTTTTTAGATAATTCAATGGCTATTACCAATCCTAAGCTTTTTGATTGTTTGAAAATAAAACTAGAGATAAAATGGAGTAGAAATCAAGTAGAAGCAGCTGGATTTATATTAACAAATATTGAAACAAATAGTTTATTTGAGGTTATAATGAAGGCATACTCATCATACTACTTATTTGAACAAGCTTTGTTGAAAATATAGGTTTACTTTTATAAAAACATGTCATATACAACTCTTAAACCTGATGGCAATTATCATAATATGAAACTAAAAGTTGGCAAAATAGTTGAAGTTACAAGATTTAAAGAAAGTAAAATAATATTTGACAAAATAATGAGTATAATTAAACATTTATGAAATAATAATCAAGAATATGTTTTTCTTTGTTTCAACTGGCTGGAAGAACTTAATAAACAAGAATCTTTATTAAATTGTCCAGTATATCATATTTGACATAATTCTTTAAATTGGGTTCATCCAATTTCTACAGTATTACATTTGTCAAATGTTCCTTTTATTCATTATTGTAATTTAAACTGTTCGTTTCAACAACATGATATTACTAATAATAAGTATATTCAGAATGCCTTTTTTTTTGTGGCAATTTGAAAAAATACTTTAGTACAATATACTATATAATAGCAATCTCTTGTGTTGCTTATATGTTTATAATATGTTTATAATAGATTGCAAATTGTATCATCAATAAATAAAAAGAGTATAATAATAAAATTTTTTATTATCATTTTAATAAAACTTAATATAATTATTATAAAAGTCTTAATGTATGCTATTATATTTCTAAATTAGTTATTTATTAGTTTCTTACTAGCACAATTTACAAGCTTGATGACAGGCTAATAAGCATCTATTGACAATCTAAAAAAATCAATTATTAGGCTTTCACAAAAATGTAAAATTTTTGCAAAGTATATTTGCTTTAGACTGCAATTGGCTAAAATAGCACTTTAAATCTTCTTGCATATTATTAGGCAATTTTAGATAGGTGTGACTTTTAGGTTTCTGAAATTGTAACCTCAAAGCTAACTTCAAGCATGACATATATATTTAAATAGCATTTAATAAGGTCTATTGACCTATGTATTTTAATTTATACATTTTAGAGCTTTATTAGAAATCTGACTTAAGAAAAGAGAAGATATAACTTAGGTAAAATTTCAGAAGTTATATCTCAGATTGTTATACAAAAATGTTAATAAAGAAAGATGTAGTTTTAGACCAAAATTTAAGACTTTTTATCACATATGTTGAACCTAAAATAACAAATCAAAACTCAATTAAAATAAGTAAATTATTTATACAACTGTGCTAATACATATAGGTTTTTATTGTGCAACATTGCAATTGTTTTTACATGTATATATATTTTTTTTCTTAAATAGTCTGGTATAGTTATTAAGTTTTTATTTTTCAAAATAATTTTTTTTGTAATCTTTAGGTTCACTGCTTGCATTTTTCCTACAACTTAACATTAAACATTTTGTTACATATTCTTATAATTAACTATCAACAACATTTAAATCAATATTAGCAATACATGACAAAAATATCAATTTTTATAAAATACATATATTGTGGTTTGTTCTTGTAAGTTTTTAAGGTTTTTAAGTTTTTATAAGTTTTGTTTATAAAATTCTTGACCTTTTTTACATTAAAGTCTAGGGTCATCATAGATGGTTAGAGGTAAGGTTAGAAAAAATTTTAAAGAATATAAAAATATTTTACTTAGATCTGTATATGCTTACTAGTCAGTCTGTTTTATATATAGAGTTGAAGTGAAATTTTATTTTCAATACCTGTTTAATGTCTGAGTAACTCGATAAAGATTAATACATGCAAAAATTTTTATAGTTCTAATCAATTACTGTAAAACATATATATAAGATAGTTGGCATAAAATAATATAAATCAAATATTTAAAATAATACAATATCTATATCTTTTATATCCACTGTATAAATAATTTTTTTATCTTGATGAGAACCAGAATGTTTAAATAGAGGACTCACAAGCAGGTTCTAGATATGGCAGCTAGTGTAAAACCTTTGGACAGACTACTTAAATTATACAATAACTAAAATTGTACGAGTGGCTAGATGTATACTCTTTTTATGATTGCCCTCTGTGACTGTTGTAATACAATCACAAAGCTAAAACATATTATCAATAAAAGCCTGAGTCACAAGTACTCACCTTTAATATTAAAATAAAAATAAAATAATTTTTTTATCTTGCATTACATTTACAGTAATATAACACTATGTAC